ATGCTCCATCCACTTCTATTAACAATATATGCCTTTCTTCCGTTCAGCATTTAAGATTCTGTTTCACTGTTGGCAGGTTGGGCGTTTGCCGATTCCGTGCTCCATAGGCTGGCACCCCTTTGGGTGGGTGCTAGAGGTCTAGAATTCACTTGGGACTACATTTTACAGGGTCTCGAAGCGAATGCTAATCTGGTACGAAAGTATATCACATTCGAATGATATTCATACTTTTACCAGCCATGACATCAATCGAATGATAATTCTAACATATAGTTTTTTATTTTATTTATTTATTTATTATTATCATGGAAGTTCCATAAAATCTACTTATACACAATTTGATGACCTCGTCGTGATCTTGCTCCCAGGTGTTGAGTATATCGCTTGCTGCATTAGGATCTCTAATGTGGCTCAGGAAAAACAAGCCCAAGACTTTGATTCCTATTATATACACCTGCGCAGGAATTGTGGCTACTATGCCATCAATTACAAGGTACATCTCTCTACTACTTATATATGCGCTCATTTCTTCATTCGGGAAACCTATTCTTTAATCAATTCATCTGTATTATTGCGGTTGAGAAACACCCACGTGTTTTTTCTTTTCTTTTTGTGCAGTTATCTGAAACTGAGCTTGGGATGGCAGTTGCCGAAGGTGGTAGGATTTGAGCTGTTCACTTCTTTGGTAATGGCTTTCATTAGCTGGCAGCTTTTTGCCGCTTGCCAGAAACCTTCTAATTGATGAATCCTTCATATCAACCTTCTAAATCAACCACCCCCACCGCCCCCGGAAAACAAAGTTCTGAAGGGCAACAAGAGCAAATTTTGCTTTGAATATTTACAGTGTGAAAAATTTCAGGAAAATGAGAAGTTACCTGAATCACTGTGATTTGAGTATTTATTTGGAAGTTTTTGGATTATACTGTTGTAACAGTCAGATTAGGAAGCTAAGTATGTTGACTGAATTTATTTTCCAGGTGACATTCTTATTAGTGTTTTCTTGATTATGATTCAGGTCACAATTATTTGTATTTGCCTTTTCAGACTAGTTGGAGCAGTTTGAAGTGACACATTCATTGCATCTGGTCCCTGCCTCGTAAATTATTGAACTTCTAGCCTCTTGTTTATAATTATTAGGCAAATTACAGCCATCTCCATGATGTAAGACTAAATTACAAAAAAAACTTTATGTTTGGGTAATTACAACCACCTCCTTCAATAATGTATGGTGTTATGAAAAAATCCTTCTTCAATAGGTAAATTTGACTTAAGAGTGGACGCATAAAACAGTACGTAGTTGATGAGGGTGATTGTAATTACCCAAATTAAAGAGTTTTTTTGTAATTTAATCTTTCCTCTCATGGGTGAGCTTAATTTACCCTATGATTTATTTCAATTTGTTAGGATTAATATATTTTTCTAACAACATACAGTAGAACCTCGATAAATTAATACCCGATAAATTAATAACCTCGCTTAAATAATAAATTTTTCCGGTCCCGACTCGGGGACAACGTGCTAAATTAATAATTCGCTAAATTTATAAGATAATACACATTCGAAAATTTTAAGAAGCCCCATATAATATATAAATTAATAATGCATAAAAATAATTTTTAAATTACATGGTATAATACATATTTTATAGATATATGAAGGCTTAACACAATATAATTTAATTGTCGCTTGTTTCTTGTTGAAGTTCACATTACCATCAATCTCATTCCTCACTTTTCTTAACATGGTTAGACTTTCGGTATAGTTTTCTCGTAACTCAACATAAATCGTTCATATAACATTGCTGTTTTAAGCGCT